TGTACATCATAATTATTTTAAAGAATGTTGATCCTAGTAATTTGGTGAAGACACCTTGTTAAAAAATAATAATTAACCTAGGTAATGTTTGTAGTGGTAATATAGTGTAGTGATATTACATAACATTACACATGTAAACTTTATTTAGAGTAAGCTGCAGTTTCACTTGTAATACAATGTAATGACATTACACTGGTATATTTATAATGGCGGAAGGTTACTACATTGCAACGGATAAAACTGTTCACTACTACATTCAGGAAGGTATCAATTCAGTTTTGACAATTTTAAGTTGATTTGTGAAGATTAACAATAACATTAATAATTGAAGTTCGAGAACTTGTGTACTCCAGTAATACAATAAAATGTACCGAATAAAATATGTTAAGAGGAAGCATTTAGTAACATTGAAATGTGTTGTTTTTTCTATGACGTCAGTTCGTTTAATTTCAGACTTACTTTTTTAAATGAAGAAAAATAAAATTTTGTTTTGTGAACTCCTTCTGACGATAGTTTTAGAAATTGTCTTTCATTAATCCAACAATTGAAAGCGAAATGTTAGGTTTTATTTCGATAAACTTGTATCAATATGAACTTTTGGGAAGGAATCTACAGTCCAGTGAATGATGCAACAGAGGGCGCTGTATAAAATTTAATTACTCATAAAGAGAAAGTAAAATTTACAATGAAAATAAAAAAATACAAGTTATCTGTAATAATAATAACTATTGACTAATGAGCATTCTTAACTTTTTTGGTTTTTAACTTTAAAAATATGTTTGGTTCAGAGAACTTCGTACTTTTATTAATAAACTCACCTAATGCCACACTTCTGGTAAACTGGTCTATAGCACCTTTCGTCATGGTATAGGAAAGATCTTTTGTAAACTAGAAAAATTCGACGAAATTGTTTTGTTAGAAATTACATCTACAGGACGAAATATATATTATTGTTTTATAAAAACAAATGTGAATTTGACATATTTATTTCTAGAGATTTCAATAAAATTAAGTGCATCTGAGAAGAGCTTTGAATTAAGCTTAACTACTTTCATTCTCATATGGGATTATGACCGAAAGTGTCGCTAACAGTGATAGTTCCGAAAGATTGAAAAAGTGCATGTTGATCTTTGTAATTATATACAGGATATTGGATTAGCTGTACTAATTATCGGGTTGATTTCTATGGGGTAGCATAATTTCATCAGAAATAATTAATTGTTTTGAAATAGTTCTGAGTTTTTGATATAAAGAAAAATAAAAATACAATAAAGATTAGTAAGGAAAAATAACATTCCATTACTAAATTTGGTTTAAATTGAAAGGTACAAATTTTCACTTGGCTATTCAATGTTACAGTACTTACTCCCCTTTTGCTGAGAATGCTCGAAACGTTGACAATGGAACCTTTACTTTCAATCAGGTGAGGAACAGCCAGCAACGTCAAATGATAGACAGCTCTTTGAAACATAGAAGAAAAATAATCTTATAATGTTTTTAAAACTAACTATTATAGCAAGAGATGGCGCTACTAGTAGAATTTTGGAAGGAAATTAATTAGAAGTTTGGAAAAAAAAAGACACGAGAATTGAGTCTTTTATTCCTATCGAATATTCTTATTAGCCTATGCCAAATAATTTAACACTGGTCTTGGAAAATTCAAAAATTCTAATCTATTAGAGTTGGTTTTACAAATACGTTATAT